ATGCAAACTTAATTCAACCCCCTGGTGTGTTGTGATAGTCTTTAATTATATGATCATATACTATGTTTTCCACAGGATCCCTGTCTCATCAGTGCACAGGCCGGACCTTGATCCCAGAATAGGTATTTCTTCTTTGGGTTATGGACTAAGTTCCCTGTAAACTGCGGGGCTACGCAGCAGCCTATTTAGCGCCGCGCAGGCACTCAAGGAAGCTGCTCGGGGATCTGCTGTGACCAGGGGAGGGGCGCCTATCCTGCAGCCCCAACCCCAGAGCTGTCATGGCAGGGAGAGGCACCTCGCCCCAACCTCAGAGCGGCCGCAATGTGGGGAAAGAGCTGGGGGGAGTCCTCTCTCCCCGCCGTAGCCGCTGAGCACCTTCCTGCACGCCAAACCCCTCATCTCCAGCCCCACCCAGAGCCCTCACTCCCTGCACCCCAATCCTCTGCCCCAGCCCTGAGCCCCCTCATCCCCAGCCCCGCCCCAGAACCCTCACTACCTGCACTCCAATCCTCTGCCCCAGCCCTGAGCCCCTCATCCCTGGCTCCACCCCAGAGCCATCACCCCCAGCCAAAACCGTCACACCCCTGCACCCCAATCCTCTGCCGCAGCCCTGAGCTGCCTCCCACACTCCAAACTCCTCGGCCCCCCCACCTCATGAATTTCATTATGTGCACCACTGTGAAGGTGATGTATCACACATCACCTCCATAGTGGTGCACATAACAAAGTTCATTCTGCACATGTGTGGGAAAAATTAGGGGGAACACTGGTTATGGTCCCCATGTGTATTCCACTCTGGGATGTGCATGTGCTCCATGCACCTGAGACCGGAAGACTTTGCTAGCAGTGTCCATTGGTCCGCACCTGCGTCCCTCAGCTCCATGTGCTCCGACCTGAGGGCATAAGGGGCAAAGCAGATGGACTGTTTCTCCAGTTGCTCTCTACCACTCATGATCTGAGACAGAACTTCAGTATCCACAGTAGCTAAGATTCCTCTTGTTCAAACTTTGTGATTATCTGTAAATAGCTTTAAAGATCTGTTAGTTTTTATAGTTAGTGTAGTTTTAGTAACAGTTAATAGTTATGATTTGGGGATCCTTCCCCCCCCCCAATACAGGGTGCCTAATATGCTGAGGATCTCCGATTCAAGAATTGTGTATCTTGCCCCAGGGCCTTTCTGGTCACTGATGACCACAACAAGTGCCTCTGTTGCCTCGGGGAAGCTCACTTTTCCTCCCAGTACAGCATCTGCCAATCCTTCCCAAGCTGAACCTGTCACGCCCAGAAGTGCAGGTTCTGAAGATTCCTCATAGACCATGCGATGAGGCCCCAGTCTGAACCTGACCAGTCAGACCCCCCTGTACATTGGGCTGAGGCCCCCAAGAGTGTCCCTACGAGCACAGTGGTCTCCAGCTCCATAGTCAAATGGAGTACAGTGAAGGACTTCTTCAAACAAAGGCAGGAGGAAGGTAAGATCAAATAGTCTTACAAGAAACATGAGAAATCCCCCTCCCAAATCATCACCCTAAAAGAGGATCCCTTCTCTGACATCCTGCAAGTAGGCTGAGACTCCATCCCCCAATATGGGGGTATCAGAAACTCACAAGGAGCACAGTACTGGTTTCCCAGCACCAAAGACCTGAAGTTGGCCCACAATGAAGGAGCACAGCTGTTTTTGGTACCAGACAGGGATGGAAGGTGGTGGATGCCTCCTACGGCATCAGTACTGATGCAGCCTGAGAAGGCGCTATCCGTGCCGGAGACTGCGGCAAGACCAACACCACTGACACGATTGAAGGAAAGAAACCCTGCCCGCTCCCTCACATCAGGAACATTAACCTCTATTGTGTTCTGTACCATGTACAGAATCTCCGATACTGTTGGATCTGACCCTAACCAGGGAGGTCCTCACACCTAACCAGGGAGGTCCCCAAAGCCATTCACTAGTACCATTGACCAGCGGGGCATAATAAGACTCCTGGTATCATTGGCACTGCCTATTCATGTTGAAGCCACCTCAGACGAGTCTGGTGTCAGCGGGAAAGCTTCACCACTCCTCTCTACACAAGGGATCACCTCAGATAGAGGGTCCTGGATATCATGGGTGCCATCCCACTCAGTACAAGTCATATCCTCCCTTATGGAGACTACCCAAATTTCCCTGTGACCCCTCGCACTGGCCTTATTGGGGTTCTAGGGAAATTAGGGGTCCATACATAAGTCACCCTGAATACACCAGATCCCATTTGGAATCAAGGCAACCTTTTACATGCAGGGAAGAACCTCAATTCCTCCAAGGACAAATGGAAGAGGAGGAGAAACCAGATCAGACAGAAGTGCCGGCACCAATAGGGTTCTCATCTTTGTCCGCAGACAAGGCAGTCACACCAGCCTTGCCATCTCCACCCTATAACTACAGGCAGTTCCAGGACCTCCTGACGAGGATTGCAGATACACCCCAGATCCCCATGGAACAAGTACAGGACAGGACCCATCCGCACAAGCTACTGAACATTCTTCAGAGTGCTGGTCCCACTAAGGTGGCACTATCAAGGACTGGCCAAGGCAGTCTGGCATACTACAGCTACCTGCGCTCCCACTCCAAAGACAATGGAGGAGAAATACTTCATACCATGTAAGGGAGCAGAATAATTACTCATACACCCCACTTCTAACTTGCTATTGGTGCAGGCTGTAGCTAGAAGAAACAGACAACACCAACCTAAATCTACCCCCTCTGAGAAAGAGGTGAAATGTTTAGATCTTTGGAAGAAAACTTTACTTTGGCATGATTACAATGCTGCATAGCAAACTGCCAAGTCTTAATGTTAAAATATGATTTTATTAATTATAAGAAGATCTTGGAGTTTACCAACAAACTCTTGCAAGAGGATAGGTTGCAGTCCCTGGCAATTATTGATGAAGGTAAATTGTTGGCTAGATCAGACCCCAAACCTTAGTAGATGTAGCAAATACAGCCTCCTACTAAATGATGACTTTTGTAATCATGCATCAGGCATTGTGGCACCAGTTGTCCAGATTTCCCAAGTAGGTTCAATCCACCATAGAGCTTCTGAGAGAAATAATCTGTTCAACAAAAAGAGAGAGGAGTCACTACTTTCCCTGAAAGACTCAAGAGCAACCCTTTGTTCACTGGGTATCTATATCTCCTCACAATGGAGGAAAAACCCCAAGTCGCAACCCTACAAACAGTGGCCAGCTGTCCAGCCATTCTACCACTAGAGGTCGTATGAGCCACCAATGAAGTGACAGAGAATGCAGCAGTTTGTGCATAATCTTTCATCTTCATTCTTCTTCCAGCCCCAGACACCTAGGAAGAAATCCTTTTGATGGGACTTTCAAGAGCTGCAAACCAGTTCCTCTGCCACATCTACCTGTTCAGGACTCCTGTACCTTATTTGGTGACCACCTACCTTGTTTTTCCCAGGTTTGTCACTTGTTAACATCAGGATCAGTTCTGGAGCTAATCACCAGTGGTGTTCCTCTCTCTCCTCCCTCAAAACACCATCTATCTTCAGAAACTCTTCTCACGAGAGCATTCTCAGTTAAGATGTAGACTCCCAGCTCCACCTGGGAGCCATAGAACTAGTACCCCTTTCAGCACAGGGAAAAGGATTTTACTCAAGATATTTCCTCATCCCCAAGAAGAAAGGAGGCTGGAAGCCATACTAGGTCTCAGACGTCTGAATGTGTTTATCTGCTGCCCGAGGCTCAGAATGATCGCCTTGGTCTCTATATTCCTTCACTCAGCAAAGAAAACAGGTTCACAGCTTTTGATTTAAAGGATGCTTATTTTCACATAAACATCCGTCCTGAACACAGGAGATTTCTGAGGTTTTTTTCCACTGTTGCAGAAAGCTAATGTGCAAAAATACTTTGCAAATTATAATCTATGTCTTTAAATTAAAAATGAGTTGCATGTTAGAGTTTTAACAATTAATTTTGCATAAGTAAGGCTCAGCTTGAATTTGAATTACTTGTAGCAAAAAAAAAATGTGTATTCTGTTTAAATGAATTAATTTATTCAGATTTCTCAATTTGTAATGTTACATTGTAGTTCAGAAGATCAATTTGTGTGACTACTTCATTCATATTTAATTACAGGACTGATAAGGAATTGTATAGAAAATAAACTGTGGGTGTTTTAAAAGAGAACATTTTGGTCAAAGTAGCAATTAGAGTACCTGTTTTAGCAATTTACATGTTATAAATGCACTGTACCAACTTGGGACCTGTTGGGGGCAGCCAAAATAGTCCTTGTTATGCAAGTGTGTCATATTTTTTGGTTAGTCTGCTTGGATTTCTTTTGATGAATAATCTTCAGACTTGAAGGTACTTTCACGCTCCATAATAGGCAACAGGAAGGGAAACTGCTGTAGACACCTATCCAGTTATATTAATAAGCACCAACCTGCAAAACGTTAAAAGTATTTTACCAGACTTTCAAGACCTGTTTCATCTTTCATATGATTGTAGTCTCAATTTATTTTGTTAAGAGATGTTGCAAGAGAATATAGAAATAATTTTAGGGTGCAAAATCTCTTGTAAGGTCCACATCAGAATTTGGACTGAGATATTTTTCTCTTCCTACATGTGCACAAGTCCTGTTGCCATCAGTGTTTGATCAATGCACTTGGAAATACCTGAATACTGAATTAAAGGCCCCGGGGGGTGGGGAGGGGGAGGACAGATTATCAGCTGGTGTAAATTGTCGTAACTCCATTGAAATCTAAGAAGCTATGGCAGTCTACACCAGCTGATGATTGTCCCTAAGATCTGTATGTAGCTCTGTCCTTGTTTTGCAGAGTATCACTACATACCGTTGGGCACAGATACTTTTATTTCTTGTATTTATTTTTTACATTTCATGTTTCAAGAAAACTTCTGCTATATTGTTAGAAACTATTTGTGAGGCTTTTCTAAAATAGTATTGTTGCTGTTTAACTATATTTTGGCATTTTCTTGTTTTCTTTAATTAGTTTTGTCAGCCTGGAGGATGGCAGTTGTCCAGAGAGAGAAAGCAGCCTACATTCTTTGTGGTGGTTTTGACCGATATAGACTCAGAACGGCACTACTGTTCATGCTTAACTTTCTATGAAGCAGAGATCAACCTGCAGGTAAATCTCTTGGAACCAAAAATAGCAAGAAAAGAGGCATTTGGAAAACAATAAATACTCATAACAGCGTGTTACTAAATAATTTTAGAACAGAAAATGTTTCTATATTCTTGATATTCAGATGAGGGGATTTTTGTAGGTTAAAAGTCTGCATTTGGTTTGGTTTTTTTGTTTGTTTGTTTAATTGAAAGGATACCTCAAAGTACTTGTTTGGGATCCTTTTGTTTGTTTTTACCCTCCACTATTTGAAAAAATCGCTTAGAAGAATTAGAATAAAAGTGTTACTCCATACTGTTTTTTGTTTCCTTTTCTGTCTAGCAATTATTTTTTGCATGTATTTTTTATGCAGGGCAAGCCAGATGGTGGTGTTTTTTTCATTTACTTCCTTGTTTGTGTATTAGCATAGTGATTGTCATCTCTGCTCCATGAATAGAGTTTAACTTTTGCTCCCTCTGCTGGTTGTCTCTCTCAGCATAACAAAATATTGTAGATCTATGTGTTGTTTTAAATGTTAAATTTTATGTATCTCTGTACTTTTTATGGTTATTCTCATTTGTTTAATTACATTTATTAGCAAAACTAATGGATTAATAAAACAATAGATTTTTAGAAGTGAAAGGATAGTCCTCAAATTATGCAATTTTTTTTAGGTAAATCAGTTTTTGGATATTAACTATTTGGCAGTGACCCTTTTGAAATTTCTTATTAATTTTTGGACAATTTTAATCAATTCAAAAAAGGCACTTTATTTCCCATTTGGCGTAAATTACTTCAAATAGTCTATACTGTGACATATTATTTGGAATCCTTAGTAGGAAGAACCCAAGGACAAACTTAATACAATTCATAATTATGAAATTTAGTTATGTCTGAAAATTTCCTGTTTATATATAATATCACTGTATATTATCACAAATAAATAAAATCTTGGTATTGTTTGTCACTAATGTGTTTCTAAAATTACGCATCTACTAGATGTAATCTAAAATTGTTTGTTCCTTAAGAGCAGATAGATTTAATTGAAAAAAGACTGCTATTATTTCACAGTTAACTTTTAAAAAAAGTATTCTATTAGTATGATTCCTGAAGTTGAAATATTACTGTATACTGCTATTGAAAACCTCACCGAATAATTAAAAAAAAAAGAAGTTTGCTGAATGGCAGCAATTTTATATTGTGCCTTTTAGACACAATTGGAATTTTAAGAATAGCAGGCGTAATCTTGGGTGTACTCCATTTCTTAAACTCTACAGTTTTTTTTTTAAGAAGTTTCTGGCAAATAAACTAATGGAGTTGAATTGTAGAAATGTAACCAAAAAACTAGATAGACTTTACTTCAGTACAGTTCATTGAAGATCTACTGATATTTTCATAGATTAAACTAAGAAAAAAGGCCTTATGTCTGTCAACTCTTGGTTTGTTTTAAAGTATGGAAGGAAATAATCCATAGCAATTCTTCCATGGATGATTAAAGCTTGCAAACGTGTACTCTTCATCATCATTGTGGATTTCATAATCTTTATACTAATCCTGGGTAGGTCATTATTGATGCTGCAGTTTCCAACAGCTGCTTTTAATTAACTTCTTGCAAGAAATACTCATTAAACAACTGGTCCCATATTAACTAAAAACTTTATTTCTGATATTGCTTAATAATTAGACACACGTAAAAAAGTAACATGTTCTTGGTCCATAGAATACTGGTCCTACCCATCTTCTGAAGGATGCATATTTTTCAGATGAACTTGCTTTGGTGAAGCTTGTTCCATGACTGCATTGTTTATAGCCAAACTTCCTGTTTCTTTATGAAGCCCAAAGATAACAAGTGGACGTGCCATGTTACATTAGACAAGAATTCAACACACATACAACTCTAATGAAAGATAATCTTGTTGACGCATTTAACTATGTAACTAAGTAATATAGGTTTGACCATCAGCTTTATGCCTCATTAAATAAATGAGTCTCTGAACCTCTGTGGCTTAGTCTTGAGAACAATGCAGATTTGTATTTACTGTTCTAACTCCAAAAAGACTTTAAAAGGGTTGAATTTCTAAAATAGTTACTTCAAAAAGCAAATAATGTTTTCAAGTCTACATGGACGTAATGTTGATTCAATAAGAAGATTATTTAAAAACTAAAAGAAGCAATCTGTATTGTATTGTATTGTTTCATGGTACATTGTTTCCCTGTGAGATAGAGAACAGTAACAAGTGTTTTTTCTAAATACCTTGAAACTCAACAGTGGAAATAGAACACTATACCTAAAAGCCTAGCAGCTGTAACACAGTAGGAACCTAGTATTAAAAAAATTCACACTTCACTTGTAAACCTTTCAATGGCTCTAAAATAGACAATCTTGCATCTATATACTGAGGTAAATTAACTGAGATTCTTGAATTTAATCTTGTGAAGTAATTTCCAACTGTCCACTTTCAGCCTTGTTTCTCAGTGTAACATTGTGCATGACCAAATATATTCAATATAAAGCATATACAATATAGATTGCATTTTAAATTACATGGCCACTTATAGGTAGCATATATCCACCAGATTATTTAGTTAGTTGAATATCTATATTCCTCAAATGACTTCACATGTCTATTCCACGTAGATGTTTGAGCACCCAGGGCATTCAAATGGAGAGTTTTCTCAACTCGTACCTTTTGGGATGGAGCATGTATCCTTGTGCCCAGCAGGAGGTATAAAGGGTGAAGCCGCCCTGTACCTCCCTCAGTTTCTTCTCACCATCCATTTCTAGAAGTCAGAGCTCCTTGTGTACCGTTGCTGGAATAGGTGCTGGAATAAGGGTTTCCATAGCATCTACAAAAGCAATCTGAGCACCAGATTAAAAAAAAAAAAGTATTAAAATGCCTCAGATTCCCCCTCAAACGCAACTTCTTAAAAACCCTTTCTGAATTCCATTAGTTTCTCACCCTTGCAAGAAACTTGTTTCCCTTTGACCATCCAACATACAAGGTCAATTTCTCCCTTTATTGTTGACCGTTCCACATTCAGCCAAACAGAGGTAAGACAGGACAATAGATAGGGAAGGCTCTGAGTTACTACAGAGAATTCTTTCCCAGGTATTTGCCTGGCGGGTCTTGCCCACATGCTCAGGGTCTAACTGATTGCCATATTGGGAGTTGGGAAGGTATTTTCCCCAGGTCAGACTGGTGGAGACCCTGGGGTGTTTTCTCTTTCCTCTGCAACATGGGGCACAGATTACTTGGAGGCTTAAAGTAATGTAAATGGTGAATTCTCTGTAACTTGAAGTCTTTAAACTATGATTTGAGGAGTTCAGTAACTAAGCCAGAGGTTAAGGGTCTATTTCAGGAATGGGTGAGTTTCTATGGCCTGCAATGTGCAAGGGGTCAGACTAGATAATCATAATGGTCCCTTCTGACCTTAAAGTCTATGAGAAAAAAAATATTCAACTCATTCTTTCCTCTGACACTGACACTGGAATATGTTGATAAGCCCTGAGAGCAGTATTCAGAAGATTCATAGAAATGTAGGGCTGGAAAGGACCTCGACAAGTCATCAAGTCCAGACCCCTGCACTGTAGCAGGACCAAGTAAACCTAGACGATCCCCAACAAATGTTGTTCAGCTTGTTTTTAAAAGCTTTCAATGACAGGGACTCAACAACCTCACTTGGAAGCCTATTTGAGAGCTTACCTCCCCTTATCATTAAAAAGTTTTAATATCTAGCCTAAATCTCCTTTGCTGCAGATTAAGCCCATTACTACTTATCTTACCTGCAGTGTACATGGAGAACAATTGATCCCCATCCTCTAACAGCCCTTAACATATTGGAAGACTGTTATCAGGTCCCCCTTCAGTCTTCTTTTCTTAAGACTAAATATGCCCAGTTTTTTAAATCTTTCCTCATAGGTCAGGTTTTCTAAACCTTTTATCGTTGTTGTTGCTCTCCTCTGAACTCTTTCCAATTTGTCCACTTCTTTCCTAAATTGTGGTGCCCAGAATTGGACACAGCACTCCAGCTCGGGGTCACCAGTGCCAAGTAGAGTAGGACAACTACCTCCTGTGTCTTACATGTGACACTCTTGTTAATACACCCCAGAGTCATATTAGCGATTTTAGCAGCAGCAGCAGCAGCACATTGACAACCCATTATAGCTCCTGATCCTTTTCAGTAGTACTACCACTTAGACACTTATTCCCCATATTGTAGTCGTGCATTTGCTTTTTTTCTTCCTACATGAAGTACTTTGCACTTGTCTTTATTGAATTTCATCTTGTTGAATTCAGACTAATTCTCCAGTTTGTCAAGGTAATTTTGAATTTTAAACCTGTCCTGCAAAGTGCTTGCAACCCCTCCCAGCTTAGTGTCATCTACAGATTTTTTTAAGCATTTTCTTTTCTCCATTATGCAAGTCATAAATGAAAATATTGAATAGTACTGGACCCATGGCTGACCCCCGTGGGACCCACTTAATATGCCCTCCCAGTTTGACAGAAAACCATAGAGAGCTACTCTGAGTACCATCTTTAAACCAGCTGTGCGCCCACCGCATAGTAAATTCATCTAGACCACATTTCCCTAGTTTGCTTATGAGAGTATCATGTGGAACTGGCTCAAAAACCTTACTGAAATCAAGGTATATCACATCTACTGCTCCCCCTATCCACTAGGTCAGTAATCTTACCAAAGAAGGAAAATACGTTGGTTTGGCATGATGCGTTATTGACAAATCCATGCTGACTATTATAACCCTATTATCTTCCAGGTACTTATAAATTGATTGTTTAATAATTTGCTCAAGTATGTTTCTGGGTATTGACGTTAGGCTGACTGGTCTATTATTCCTCCTTGTTCCCCTTTTAAAGATAAATACTATGTTTGCCCTTCTTCAGTCTTCTGGGACCTCTCCTATCCTCCAGGAAGTCTCCAAGATAATTGCTAATGGCTCAGAGGTTGCTTCAGCTAGTTCGTTAAGTACCCTAGAATGAATTTCATCAGGCCCTGCTAACTTG